TAATTGTTTAAATAGGGAGGTGGTAAATGAACGATGTGTGATGCGCGTTCCTCACCAGGTTTTCTTTTGCATATTCCGGCAGAGTCTAGTCCTAAATTTCTAATAGTTATGATTAAATGTTTCGCCAAAAATTTCAATAATGTTTTTTTATTATTATTATTTTTTATTTATGATATTTACAACTGTATTAGTATAAACACATCAAGTAAATGTATACAGAGGAATATAATGAGATGAAAACGCTTGTTGAGAAACTACTCATTGATAACACTCTAACAATATGTCTACATAAGGAAATCACGAAGCCATCTTTTTTTCAGATACCTCGGAGAGTTATGAGGGATCTAAAGGAAGGTTAGAAACAAGAAGATTCCGATGATTATGAAGTTTATTAGGATTCTGGATTGGGTCAAATCGGAAACATATGAAACATTAAGGTCTTTATGGATTGTTTTATTTGTGACAAAGGAGCATTGAGGATTTTACGAAGGATTTTGGATTGTAAAGATTGAATACGAGAGGAATTTGATGGTTAGGTCTTAAATAGGTCTTATTATAGTCATGTATATGCGTATTTTGTAATTAATAGGAAGTTTAGAGCGTTTGTCCAGTGGATGGATTCCAGGAGAGATGTTTGTCCAGATGGAGTCCTAGGTATCGGATTTGTTCAATAGGGATAAGTGGGGTGTTGTTAAAGGATACTGTAAGACAGTAAGGCATAGGTTTACGACGAAGGGTAAAGGTGATTTGATCGGATTTATTGGAATGTATTTTAATCCTCTAGTTTTGTGATGTGTGATTGGAGAAAATAATGTTTTGCAAGAAGTTCTGTAAACAGTAGTCCACGAAAAGAAAAAAAAATCTCTGTATTACACCTTTTAATTATTTTAAGTATTCCAGGAACTGACCTATCTTTATAGAGCTATATCTGGATTAATATGTATCATATATTTCAATTATAATAACACAAAGCTCATTGATATTTGAGAGCAACGGTTCAGGTCTTCAATATAGAAGAGGCAATATTTAGGTCATCCTAAAAACGAACCTAAACAATCACAACTGATTTCCGCCGCCATAGACGAGACTGATCACAACTGGTGTGTTCTAGCGTTAGGGCTTCTATCAACACTTATGGTCGCCTAATAATATTTTAAAATGATCATACAATATTATACAAGTAATGACAAAATTAATAATATGACAAAAATAACTATTAATTACTTGAAACTAAATTCGACGTCTACACAAAAGTACGAACTTATTTACTATTTAGACGAATAAGATGTTTAAAATAATAAATATTTAAAAAGCATTTGAATTTCAGATTTATATTTTTTGCGATTGTTTAAATATAACGAAATATATTCTGAGGTATCTTGAGGCTCCATCAATAAACAAATAAACAAATATATTTTGAGGACATTTTCTGATATTGTTGTAAATATGATATGTTATAAATAAAATAAAGTATGTAGACAAATATTCAGAAATAATAACGGACTAAAATTATAATCAATATTTAATTGAGAAGTGTTTGTAATTTTAGTATGTAATAATAATTTTCTGAAAAATACACCATCAACCTATTTTTTTTTTTTTTTCAAGAACAATAAGAGTCGAAAGTTATCCAAAATATAGTTGTTCATTTATTGACTGAATCCTAAAATAAAAAAAACATACATATGATAAAATAAAACATAGTAACCACATTATATTTATCATCGAGATTACTATTTTTTTCTGATCTGTCTTCTGAGCATTAATTTTTTGTACTAATGCTGCAATTATACAATATGTTCCTATATATAGGCAATAATTTAATTATGTGATAGGGAATCGAATCAATTAAAGCTTTATTTGTTATATAAATTAGGCTATTATTCACCAACATTTTATTTATTACGATCATGGTAATAAAATAGCTAATAAATAAATAGCTTGAAATTTATAGAACAAATAAAACCTCAAGACACCTATTCTAGGAATAATGAACAGAAGAAATTAAGAATTGTTATATTAGATATTTATAACGCCAAATTATTAATAATTTTCGAAAAATAAATTACAACAAAATATAATGATTAATTTGTAAATAATAATTGAACATATTTTTCATGAGTAAATTTCATAATTAGAATCTGATTTATCTATTAACCTATTACTCTACTTTGAAATTCAGAGAGGAAATTCCTTAATCTCTCAATGTCTTCTGTGAACTATCTTCAATGGGTCATATTATGATTATGCAGTGTGGTATTTTCCTATTAGAATAATTCACCACCGAGGCGTGTGGCCCGGAAATGTTTTATTGCCAATAATCTTCAATGATCTCTCTAGATATTTTCACAACCTACTACTCTTATATATAACATACTATATCTATGTGTATTATTATACATGTGTATTACAAAATAAAGGAAGTATAATATATATATATATATATATATATATATATATATATATATATATATATATATATATATATATATATATATACATATATATGTATATTTTATAGAGACAGAGATAGGCAAATGCAACTGTGATTATCGAGTACCAAATATATTAATATACTACTCAAATTAAATCACTACTTCAGTTAATCGTTTGACATCAATTGAAGTAGTAATTAAATTCTTCGGTACTCAAAAAAGGTCAGCATCTTAGTAAAATATTTGGTACTCAGTACTCACAGTAGCATTTGCCCGTCTCTGGATAGAGATTCTGAGTATAATATAGTTAAGAGTACATAAATCTGGACCTTAAACTAAATAAACAACTATGTGTATTGTCTTAACGTTATCTGCGCTAACCAGATCTCAACTCTTATCATGAAGACTGGAGTAACATAATTTTCAAGACAAAATTTTTTAAGATTTTCAAGGGCAACATCGATTTTCAGTTTATTTAAAACGGATAATTACATAAAGCCTTACTTAATAATTACGAATTTAGACATTTTTCAAAGCATATAAAATTTTATCCCTTTTTTTTTTTTTACCTATTACATACAGAGGAATGTATTGAGAATTTTATAGTGTAAGATTCAATAACTTAACGAAGATTAATTTTCAATTATACGTTAATCTTACATTTCATAAGCAAAAGTAATTATTGGAATATAATTCTAGAATCCAAAAACAAAGAAACTCCAACATAAAGTTAAACAGCCAACCCGTTAACAGTTGCCAATGTAGGTGTCAGCAGGCCGGACAATAAATGGCCAAATGCAGGCAGCACATCATTCACCGTAAAAAAAAAAATTAAAAAAAAATATGAACGCATCAACTGATTACAGCACACCATTCAATACAACACGAATGTCAATATTTAGGCAATGTCTAACCATAAAAATTTTTAATTAAGAGGAAGATAAAAATAGTCAGGATTTGCAGCTGATGTATGGCTTATTTGGCATGGTGACGGCCTAAGCATGTTGCTTATCACCATGCCCAAAAATTAATAAAAAATACATCAGAAGTATATATAGGCGTACATACATAAGCTAATATAAAAGGATGGAAAGTATATACGAGATAACAGTAATATATACGTAATAGAACGCCAAGAAAAATATATAAATAGTATAAATAAATTAATTAAATGAATATCACATTTATTTTTACTGTCACTTACGTATATATCTAATATATAGTAAGGGTAAGTATTGGGTTAGAGAAAATTTTTGAATCTGAGTTATCAACAGAAATACGTTTTGGGATACCCTCAGTCCAAATAACCAAGTCCCGAAAAATGGCCTGTGAGTCTGTGTGTATATGAATACTCTAGCTCAAAAACGAAAAGTCCTACGAAACTGATATTACGGATTTAAGATAGGTATATGCCTTAGACATGGCAGCAACTTTTTTCTTAAAATCGGCTAACCGGAAGTGCCACTTTATATCAATAGTGAAACACATTTTCACAATTTTCTCAAAAACGGCTCTAACGATTTTGATTAAACTCGGTGTATCACTGTATAATTAAGTGGTCTTTAATATAAATTAGGTGTTATCCCCATTGACGTCACTTTGCAGGTCTTGAATGCCCAATGTTCATATACGTCTTCCTCTAAAGTATCTTTAATATGGTTTATATTGAAAAGTTAATCATTTCACATTATTCAGAGTTACGAAAAAATGCGTTATTAAGGAGAAAAAAAATAAAAATACAGAAAAACCTGCGTTGCTATATACTGTAGCGCCTAAACGAATGTACCGATTTCAACGAAACTTCGCTAAAGTCATTTTCTCGACACCCTTTAAATTTGTTTATATAACATATTTCAACGAAAAGAAGCTGGAAAAAAAAGTTACGAGGGATGGTAAAATTAAATTCCGAATAACTCAATAGTAGAGATATCGCGATTTTAAAATATTTTTATGTTTTATTTGTTTTGTTATTACTCGGTTGGTCTGTTGTTTTAATTATCTTGTATATTACTTTATCTTTTGATTTATATATATATATATATATATATATATATATATATATATATATATATATATATATATGTATATATATATATATAAGCTAATATAAAAAGATGAAAAGTATATACGAGATAAAAGTAATAGAGATATCGATATATATATATATATATATATATATATATATATATATATATATAAATATATACTTGTTTTTCCCCTTTCTTATGTACATATTGTGTGAATGAATACTATAGCACTAGTACCAATGCCCTTCAGTGTGGCAGACTGTTTTAATACTCAATAAAAGTTTAAAAAAAAAAATGTTTCTAATATTCGTAATGCCTTGATGATGAACCTGAAAAGTAGGGAAGCATAATAACTATATTTAGGCTGTAAATTTTATTAATTATTCTCATAATTTTAGCATAACAGCCAACAATATATCTTTCTCCAGTTGAATTTTCAACTGCTTAAACAAGCATGTTCGAGCTCAAATTCAAATAATAAATGAAGGGATATTATAGCCCAGTTATGTCCGATCTTCTACGGCATGTTCGCCGACTCCTAGGAGCCACACCACTCCAGCCGAAGAACATTCCAGAGGAGGCGATAAATCGTGAGGAGTGGACACCGAAAGAGGCGGCGATTTAAAGCGGTCCAAGAGGAAGGTGATGAATGGACATGGAAGACAGACCTTCCGACAGATGAATGAAGACACAGAGAAGCAGGTGGAGGGGCTGTGGCGCGGCAACGGTGGTGGGGGAGCAACTCCACGGCCAGTACTTCTTCAGTGTTCGGGCACGTCTCTGTAGTGTCTGTGAGTATCTTATCAGTAACTTGTTTGCATGTCTTGTCTCTATAGGCGGGGTGTCGCTCTTCTAGGGGGTCGCCAAGCAACGGTGTCTTAGAAGACTTGATAAGCCCAAATTTCGGATACATAAAATTTTTTTTTCAATGATCAATGCAACACGAGCACACAATATTTTCATACAAGTAGTCAATTCAGGATACTAGACAACAAAACTACGAACCGGACACACGGGAATCAACTATAAATATTTGATGATTGGAGTACTGGTGGAGACATATCAGTTTACAATGTGACGTACCGATTACTTAAGGTGCGTTTAGCCATTTCATAAATTATGAAACAAATATATAAATGGTTATTTCACTGTCCTAGTATTTTTGTTTCTGACTCTCGATATTTTCCATCTTAGCTCGGTATAGCAAAAATGTTACTATTAGTAAAGTTAGATAATTGTGTTTATCATGTTTGTGAAATGTCTAAACGCACCTTTACAATAACTGACAAATAATAAAATGACAATAGCTCTTGCGTCTCTAAAATACTTAGTTAACAGGTATACCGAGTGATAACTGTTACATTAGATAGGACCTCACTTCCTTATACATTCCTCCAAGTCTGTTCAACACACAAAATTTGAAGTTACAATTTACATGAGTGATTAGCTTATCCCATAGGAGAATATCCTCCAGTTTAATAGCCAATAAGACACAGCTAACCCTGAGTTTATACTTACCCATTATTTTACTTGCTCAAGACCCATTGACTTGCTGATTTAGGAGTCTTGTAGTTCTCTCATTAAAAGTACAGAAGTCTATTACTAGAAATATATAAACCATACCTTTTTTTTATTATTTTTTTTTTTGCATCTATTAAGTATATCAACACTAGTGTTCTCCAAAATCGAGACCAAGACTAAGGCTGTTGAAACTGTTGAAAGACCAAGACCAGGACTGGTAAAAAAATCGATTTTTTAAATAAAAATTAAGAAAAAATAGTTACTAATACTCGACAATTTTAATTACTATATGTTAATAATTGGTATAACCAATATACTTTTGCATTTAACTCCTCTAATTTTTCATTCCTGCTAAGTTTCGTTTCTCCTATCTAAAAAATTACAGTAATATCTCCATAGTAATAAGCTAATAAGTAACTGCAATACTGAGTTTGCAAGACATAGACTCGTCTCGGTCTCTCATTTGGGCAACATTAGTCAACACGTTTCTTACTATTATATTCGAATTATTCGAGAAATCATAGATTTATTCTCCTCCATCAATCATTTCAATAGATTTTTATTTCATCGAAAACTGACATAAAAACTTAATTTGAATTTTTAATACCTAAACACACGATAAATATCTCTTGGCAATTATAGCATCTAAGAAGCATTCGGCAATACGATTTATTTCGAAAATGAGATACTAGTCTTAAAAACGAAGGGTTCGATAGGTCCTTAGGAACTATATCGTGTCTTAATAACCGTGTCGAAATCATTTAATCACAATTTATCCCATCTCGATTCGTTGATTTTGTGGTCATGTGAGTTTCGAAATATCCTAATTTTTTTTAAGGAGTTTAAGAATAGATTTTTGGATTCGTCTCTTCTCTTCGAGGGCCGGAAAACGATTCCACACCACCATAATATTTATTATGTAAATTAAAACAATTTGACACATATAAAATGACATTTAATGTTCCTCGTTTATTATTATTATCATCAAATATAGGCCAATTGAGATTACGCCAAGCAATCAGGAGCGCTTTCTTGTCTTCCTTTTCGCAGACATTTCTTTAACCCTCTTCCTGTGCGCTTCTTTTCACTCTTGGGTCCATGTTTTCCCGCTTCCCACACTTTGGCATGCCTTCCGGATCAGTTCACCACCAAGTGTAAACTTTCGATCACAAGATTGTTCTCTTTTGAATGCTCCCTTCAGAAATTCCTATGATAGTTTGAGGTACATTTTAATTTCACTAATCCATTTTGCGTCAGTTGCCGGTTTACACCTGTTCTCATAAATATCAATTATTTATCGGGTAAGGGGGTTAAGGTTCGTTAAAATTTAGTCTACGTTTCCAAATGTCACTATAAGCATCTGATTAATGAATCATTTCTGCTTTACTCCTGAGTTTGTGTTGCTCCTCAGTGAATTTTTGGTAACTGAATATCATTTATGATGTTTTTGTCACATTATTCCCATGATTGAATGTCATACATTGAACTTATTTTTTTATTTTCTGTCCAATATTATTTTTTTTTTCTCCGTCAGTCTTTGGTCATTTGGTCATCCCATATCTTGCTGTCCAGTATGATTTAGATTTTTTAATATATATATATTTAAAAAAAAAAATTTCTTATGACCCTCAAGGCAGGACATGTGACTAGATGGTCTGCATCCATTGCTCCTTGATGACACAATTTAAAGCTAGGATCCTCAGCCAGGCCTACCTTGTAGAGATGATTCTGCTGATAGTCTTTGCCAGTGGCCAGGCGGAAGCAGACAACTGCATCTCTTCTCGGTAGTCCAGCTGGGATCGGATTATCCTTCAAACACTCATATCACACGCTTCCCTTCCACTTTGCCCAAGTGTGCTTTTCTAATTTCTTCCTTCACTACCATCCTTACTATTCGCCGTATTGAATCGTAAGGTTTTGGATGTATCGGCTGAGGCAAATCTGTTCCTCGCTTGGCAAGACTATCAGCCTCAACGTTTCCCGGAATCCCACAATGGCTGGAGATCCACTATAGAACCACATTGGTACCTCGGAGTGTGAGGTTTGAAAGGAGAGATTTGCATTCTAATATGGCACTAGATAAACATTCATTCGTGTTAGTAACAGCGAGGATGGCAGCTCGAGAGTCGATGAAGAGAACAGCTCTCTGGTCCCGCCTTTTAGACAATGTTCTTAAGCCTATGAGGATCGCCACTATCTCACCGTCGATATTTGTTCCATCTTTACCCACCGCAGCGCATAGAAATATTGTCCAAATCTGATGTATATTATGTTTCTATTGAACGCACCAACGACCAACTTGTCCATAAAAAATAAATGCAGGTAAGCAAGAAACACTCAATATAAGAACTTGTACCATAAATTCGATAAATTTTGGACTCTTTCGAAAATTCTTTTCTGAATTTCTGTCAAGTTATTATATTTTTTAACTTTTACTTATCCATATTCGTGAAAAATTTCGAATCCGATTTTTCCAACGAAACCAAATGTTTCGTGGTCAATTGAGTTCCAATAACCAAGTCTCGGAAAAAGGCATGTGAGCGTATACCAACATCATAGTTTAAAGTTTTCCGCTAAAATCTAGTCATCAGAAATAAAATTTATATAATATATTTTATGAATTTTGGAAAAGGGCTCGAACAATTCTAATCAAACTTGTTTTATCAATGTAAAATTCAATGACCTTGAATACCATGCATTTATCAACCTCCTAGGGCTTAAATGGCAAATTCCTTTCTCTGTAGTACCTTTAAGTTTGTTTATTATTTAGAATTAAAGATCTCATATTGAAAGCAGTGTTATAAAATGGATAGATATGAACTAAGAAAAAATTGGTAATTAACTATAGGAGAAAAAGCAGGAAATATTCGGGTTTAAAAAGAATTAGAGTAGTAATTTAGGTGTATGGTATATCGTTAGAAAGCGTAAGATATCAGAAACATGAATATCTAACACATAAGGACGTAGCAGAATGCAATGAAGGTTTACAAAAAGCTTAAGGCTTTTAATTGTTGTAGTCAATTATGTCAACTAGTCGGTCAAGCATGAATGTCACTTCCTTTGACTGATCACAAGATAGTACTTTCTTATCAAACTCTGGGATCAAAGCAAGTATTTCATAGAATGCTGCGTTACAGAGGTACATATTTTTTATTGTAATGAAAAAAAGTTTTCTAATGTTTTTAATGAATTAAGTAGGTTTAGCTAATCGCTAAAGGTTTAGCAAATTTATCAGTAGAGAAAAAGATAAGATCCATGAATGGAGACTGGAGGCAGCAATTCACATATCATCTTATTTATATTTATATTTCGAAGACTTTGTTTTTGGCATCTGCCAATAATATCAGAAAATTATTCCATATTATCAGGTTGGCAAATAAGTCTATTCAGTTTTTCAAGGTGAAATAAAACAATTTATTATAGACATTTTTCTACTAACTGCATAATGCCATGTTCATAGAATGTCTGGATTTTATTGTTAAAAAACTGGTCCAAGTGGTTTTTGATTTCTTCTTCCTTTTGGATTTTATTTCCATTCATGGAGTTCTGCAGAGACCAGAATAAGTGGTAGTCACTTAGAGCTAGCTCTGGTGACTATGGAGGGTGGCCATCGAAGGCTCAAAAATTTATTGCGAGTGACCAATAAGGTGTGGGACTTAGCGTTGTCTTGTTGCAACACGACACCCTTTCCACTCCCATTATTCATAACTCTTCAAGATGTTACAAAACTCCTTATAGGTTTTTATTTTTGATCTCCATTTGAAGTTTGTTTACAAAGGTCCTATTGATGTCATTTTGTATAGTTTGTATAGTTTATGTGGCCCTAAATATCTGATACATTTTTTTGTAGATAACTAAAGTCGTATTGAAGTTTGAACATTTTTTTTGTAATTTTCGAAAAAAAATCATATTAGGGACCCATACATTAAGCCTGGAAACCGAGCTTGTGCAAATGGTTTTATACGCTTGTATGTTGCACATTTAGGACCATAGCAATTTCTCGCACTGTTTTCGTAGGATTTTGATCAATGGCCTTAATTTTGCTCGTTTAAATTTCATGTGGGCAAACAGACCGTTGAACACCAATGACATCAAAATTTCCTGAATGAAATTTGGCAAATCAATTTTGACAGGTGCGTTCGGTTAAGGCATCATCCCCATAAGCACTGCAAAATTTTCTATGAGTTTCTGCAGCACGCTGAACTTTTTTAAAATAATACAACAAAATATGCCTAATATGAGAATAATAATAATAGGAGAATATGAGAGCCTCTTCACAAGAAAACTTGGAATTGGAAAAAATCCATGAATTTAAATATTTCAGTAGATGATGAACTGAGGATAGCTCCTCCAAGGACATCATAGAAAAAATTGCAAGAGGAAGGTGGATAATTGGGACACTAAATTCTGTGTTATGGAACAAGCTGGGAAGTCCACAAACAAACAAAAAAAAGAAAAAAAAAGCTGTATCATTCCTTTTTGGAAAGCGTCACTATATATGATACGTATAATGAAACGTGGGTGATCGCCAAAAAAGAATGAAAAAAAAAAAAATAGTAGGCAGAATAGTCAGCAGGAAACAACTATGTTCTACGACACAGAAACGAAAACGATTAAATTGTATTGACAGAGAAGGACGGAAAACCGATAGCAAAAATCACTTTCTCTATTAACCTATAGAAAGTTAAAAAAGAGGACGACCAAGGAAGAAATGGTTGTAGGATGTGGAGGAAGGCATGGCTGCCAGAGGTCTTCGAGAGGGAGACTGACTAGACTGAAAGAAGTGGCAAAAACTTTTGGATACGATAAACTTTGAGGAGTTGTAAATTGAAAATGGAATAAAACAAACTAACCCATCAATCGGCTTTTTTTCTTCCCTACTTCACCTCATGGGCTATACGTGTTTTTTTCCGGTCTAGAGGTAATGCCTAGGGAATAATGTCTGAGTTAAAGACCCATGGTACCGGGAATCGAACTCATAATCTTCCGTTTATCAGGTTGCCGGGCAATGCGTGCTTTGCACATTTCTTCTCCTAGATATCGTACTAAGGAGAGTCAATTAACGGATTTAACCGCAGACAGGAAGATATACAGGCACGGAACTAAATTTGTTCTTTGATGTCTAAAATGAAAGTAAAAAAATTAATTCTGAGCAAAAAAACTCCCGTATGAATTTAAAGAAGCAAACTATACCCTTTGGTAGTAAAGAAGTAAAAACAAAATTTAGACACTACACGGAAAGTTTGATGTACCAATACTAACGTAGGCCACGTGGCCTGTCACAGATTGTACACGAGGACCATTTACATAATGCTCCAACGGCGGCGAATATATATCGTGAGAAGAGATCGGTCACTATCGACGTTCTCACGTTCGGCAGCCGAAGAGATAGCCCCAGCCGAAGAGATAAGGACAACGAATGGAGGTCTTGTCTCCCTTCCCAGGATCCTCCGCTAATAACTAAGGTTAAGAATTAGTAAAATCCCATAGCTAGGAATTTAAATGTCACGAGGACACGGCTTACAACTTTCATAGACCTGATATTTAATGATGAGCCGACCCATTAATATTTAATGGGCACAAGTTACAAAAGCCAAAACCATTTCATAATGGTTCCACTTATTTTAGACACGGCCGCTGAAATTAAGAAAGCAACGATGTACAGTGGCCTCTAGCGGTATAAATCCTATTTTAAAGATGATAATTCAAATTTCCTAAGTTTTTAATGTGAGATACGGGTCATTGGTACATACCCATTTTTATCAAATTATTAACATCCGCAAAAAACTTGGTGAATAGCTTCATCTCAACGTAACCTACACAACTTTTTTATTTACGAAAATTTTCGTAATTGGGATCTTTTTAATCTGAAGATCGGAAAACTTTGTATATATATGTAGATAAACTCATCCATTTGATTTCCAATTGATTAATAAGATACTTATATAACAAAATCGAGAAAAATGTGGCCTACAAAAATATTGGGCTATATGGCGTGACCTTCACCCTCAACATGTCAAAATAATGAGATCACATAAGCCAAATGGCCAATATTTTTGTAGGTCATATTTATTCTCGATTTTGTGACCCAATGATTTTAAGATTCAAGAGAAATTAAAATGGATATTTATGAGTTTTTATTAACTCTAATAAAAATTCCCCATTTTGAGAATATTCAGAGATAAAAAATTTGTAAGTTACAATAAGATGGAGCCATCAGAAGGAATTTATAGGCGCATGTTTATAATTTAATAAAAATATTATCTGATACCATAACTTATATATAACAAAAGTTTAGGCACGAATAAAATACTGGTTGTAGAATTTTCAATAAAGCATTAATAAAGAGGCCGTTTTTTAGCACATTAATTTTGAAACTTGTAATATATTCTTAAATTTATTTTAGGTGTTTTTGTTGAGATTAAAAAAAAAAAAAAATCGCATGGAATCGATGGAGTATTTCACTCGTTATGGATGTTGAAGTCTCTCATGCCAACAGAATATACAAAAGCTATGTATATACGTAATTTGTTTATACATTCTAGTTCTGTTATAAATATAGTTAAATTAGCCTAATCAAAAAGATTGAGAAGATAAAAAGCACTTAAGTTGCGAGCAGCAGATTTACGATTGAAATAAATATGCCTTCGATTCCATGTCGCTTAACCCTCCCATATATTAACTTGTCTACCTGAGGTTCATAGGAAATTTAATGCTGTTTCAAATTGATTATAATGAATTTATTCGAGAGATGCATAGATTTTGAATTTTGGGAGAAAAAACGATGAAAACAGATATTTCTTCTGAAATAAGCATACAGTCAATATTCTCTAAATCCTCACACGTTAGACTTACATCAAAAAGCTATGTATAAATTAATAGTAAATTTTATCTTCTACAACTTTGAATATGATAACAATTTCGATAAAATGTATCGTTTCGGAGTCATGTCAAAAAAAGTTTGGAAATATCTCCTATATTTTGCATATATCTCGGAACGCAATGAAAAATTTCATTCGGGAGCATCAGATTCAGATTTAGCATACCAAAAAATATACAATACAAAAGATAAACCGACTGTTAGGAATTTTTTTCCTCATTCTACTACCTTCCGACTGGCCTAATTTGATAACTTTGACGCGTCAGTTTTCAAAATGCAACGGAGCACACCGTCGCTTCAGGTGAATTCTCTTTTAGTGGCATATTCTTGACATCAAATCAAAATTTCATCCGTATGTTCTTTCGTTAAATGAATAATCAAATTTCGCCTCTTTAATTTAATTTTTTTTTAAAATAAAACAGCGGCTTTCAATCGACTGATTGACTGACCCGAGTTGTGTATTCAGGTGAGTATTATCTATAATTTGAAGTGGTTTCCATCTGTAAGTCATTCCGTTAAAGGAAAACGGTGGTAGATCCTAGTCTATATGTACATGTAAGTATCTATATGTACACATCTCCCAAATTTCCCGTCGCACTATCTTCACCCTAAAACAGTTCAATCGTCTACGATATCTCCTTTCATATAAGTCCCGTCAACTCCTAGTTTCCTCCCTTGTTTCTCCCCCCCCCCCTTCGACTATGGCTGTATGGTGTACGGTGGACTCTCGGGAGATTCGGAGGCCAAACTTAAACGCCTAATGAATTGTGCACTACGATTTGTTTTCGGAATCTCAAGGGATACGCATATTACCCAGTATTACACTGAGTTGAGGTGGCTCTACCCATCCTATCGCCGTCAGTACTTCCTAGCCACCTTTCTGTACCAAATCATTAAAACCCATCGACCCTCCTATATTTTTCACAGCTTACAATTCAAATATTCCATCCAATCCCGTCCCACCAGATCTCGTACTTCCGACCTCTATCCTCCTCCTCACCGAACTGCTGCGTTTGACAAATCCTTTGCAATACAAGCCGCCTCCCTCTGGAATTCCATCCCAGCTGATATTCGACACGCTCAATCAGTTTCCTCGTTTAAACCTCTCCTCTTTAAGCACCTACTCCTTTCTCAATCCGAATGATTGTGAAATATATCTAAGAGAAATATCTGAGCACCGCCAGAGACTACCTCAATTTATTAAGGTTATTTTAGTTGCTCATATATATATGTACAATTTACTTGTTCTTTTCTTTCTCTTTTCTGTATTTTTATCGTAAGTCAACTTTCATTGTAAATATACAATTTAATTGTAACCACACAGACATACAATCTGTATTCATATTTTGTTCTTAAGGGACAACAGTCCCAGAATAATAAAACATTTTTTCATTTCATTTCATTTCATTCATAAGAGTCTTTTTCCTTTACTATTAAGACTGTGAGAATATTTCACAATAATACAAGCTAATCCCTTATGAACGTATGCTTATTCTGTGTGTTTATTAAACTATCTTGATAATATCATAAATATGAATAAACTTGATTCACTGTTGCACTAAACTAGCCTCCTTCTCCTGTCACTTATTGATTGAGATATACGAAGCTCTAATCATCAGATAATTATCTTGGATATTATCCGTTTAAGTTAAATTGGATCCATTTTCGTCAAGAGCGATTAAGCCGCTTGGAGAAGTGTACCACCATGAAATAACAGCGACCAGCCAGACGTTAGTTAATGAGATTAATCCATGAGTGGGATATGGGAGCTACTGACAGTGGGCGGACCCTCATCACCACTTCGCCCCACCCTCCTTCTCAAAGATGGTAATTGCGATTGCTTTGCATAACCTTGAGAAGTTTCATCTTTTTGCAATGCATTAATTGAGGGCTCGTCAAAGATGTCAGGATTGGATGGGTTCCGCCACGGTGTTAATTGAGAGATATGCTTATACAGGGTGTTTCAGGGTTAAGTGGCCAAACTGCAAAATTTAACTAAGGTCATCAAAAGAAGAAAAAAAATTCCTCTGAAGGTATGTCCGCAATCGCTTGTTTAGGATTTTCGTTGTTATGAATTATTTCCGTTAAATGAAATAAATAAAACCTATTTATTTGTTATTGAATGAAGTTAGTCGACTGTTCTACATATAATGGGTGATAAATATTCAGGACAACCTTTAAAAAAAAAAAAAAATTATTATTAATGCTAACGTTCCAACCCAAACATGTGGGTCATCTTCAGGGCGTGGTTTGAGTACTCTTTTGAACGAAACGTTGGCATAAATAAAAAAAACATATTTTTAATTTATTTATTGAAAAATATTACAATTTGTTTCCAAGGACAAAATTTTTATTATTTTATTAACACATTCCAGAGAAAATGAAACAGAATTTCAATATCAACTAAATAAAAAATAAAAAATTTAAAAAGACTGCGTCCTGAATATTTATCACCCATGTTATTTGTTGTAACTACTTTATTAATTAAATGTCAACATTAACATTCATATTGAAGGTTGTTCAAAGTGATTTCCTTGAGCATTAAGAGAGCTTATCTTTATATTCCGAATAGAGATACAATTTAAATTTGCTTAGAAACGTAAGGAAAAGTTCTACTAAATGATTGAAGGATAAAAAAAAAAAATGGTAACTAATATATTAAGGTAAACGTTTTTATTCCCATGAAAGTTTCGTAAAAGATTGGAAACTGTATAATCCTTAATATTTGGTAAAATCGATGAAACGGTACTTCATGTTACACCTACAACACCTTAGAAATATGTCATTTTTTAACCCTAAAAAAATAATATTGATATTTTCATGGAATGAAAAGAGTGACAAATTATGATGTTACTATAGATCTAAACTTCTGGTGAATATTTTTAAAAGAATCTTCCTGTTCAACTTTAGGTATCATTTTTAATCAATACTTTTGAACATGATACCTAATATTAAAATATTTATCTCAGATCTTTTTATAATGCTTCAGAAGCTTTAAAGCTTTGAAAATCCTGAAGAAATGAAAATCCCAAGGGTAGATCGGCAATCGTTAACCTAACAATTACAGGCTACTACTGTCACATACATTTAACTCGTGATTTTCAAAGTCGTTACCGGTTGTAACTGAATATCTTGCATCTTGACAAAGAATATCAATTACTGCTAACCTACCGTACGATATGACATTTATTTACAACGTACAACTAGATCAAAATTAATTGCATGTCCGTAAGCGGTTAAGGTCGTAAGGTGGAGAATGCGATTTCCTACTACCCTATTAGGCTATAGAAGGTAATAAAAAATTAAAAGTGGAAAAAAGTAAATCCATGATGTAATAAATGGTGATAATAAATAAACAAACTACTAGTTACAGGATATGTTGTATTAGTTTAGAGTAAACAGAATAAAATATACAAAAAAAAGAGTTAAATTAGAATGAAGTATGATAATTATGGTACAAGTAAAATTTCATAGTTTTTAAATTTTCTTTGTTACTATAAAAACCTAATTCATACATAATGAAAAGAATATTGAGGAAAATCAAAAAAATCAATGTTATCACATTTTTTTTTCTCATCCTTCAGCGATGATACATACATACATATTCTTAACATTTGTGTATGTTTATACGTATATATTGTAATAATAATTGTACAATAAAATCGCTGGAGGGTGATAAAAAAAATACATTATTAAATTTATTTATGACTATTACGTCGGGATTGTAGTCAACATATATTTTCGCTAGTTAAGTAATAAGTCATAAAAGTAACCGTACCTTGCAGTTTTACAAAGAGTTTTGTTTCAAATTCGTGTTAAAAAAAATGAAGAATTAATTACCATTTCTATTAATTAAACTCCATATACGACGAGGCGTCCCGTAAATAATGAGAAATAATTAAAACGTGAACTCCAACAGTAACAAAAAAGTTGACACAAGTAATATAATGTCTTTTAAAGATAGTCTGCCAATTATCACTTCTATCAATTTTTTTTTATTTATGATATTTACAACTGTATCAATAAATAAAATACATTTAGTAAATTTGATAACAGAAAAAAATAACATGAAATTAATTGTTGAGAAACTAACCACTGGTAGCACTCTAAAAAAAATGTATTTACAATAGGAGATCTCAAGGCCATCTTCTTTTCAGACGCCTCGGAGGGATATCAAATTTAAAAATTGATTTTTGGTCATAAGTCCATTCCGACATTTCTACTATAAAAAGAATAACTACCTACTAATCTGACTCATGTTCATTTAATTATTAATAGGGCCAAACATATTGCGATAATTGTCAATCCCAGATGACCATAAAGCATATAATAGAATATTGTAGATTACTGCATCAAGCCTTTGTAAAAAACAAAATACTCCGTTGTAGAGAATTAGAATTAAAAGACTCGGTAGTTTCAATAGAAAATATTATAAACCTTTTAAAAGAAACAAAATTGTACCATAAAATATAAGGATAAATGCAATATATGAAAAGAAACAATAAATTATCTATAGTATTACTTATTTAAAAAATTATATTGAATATAACTGCATACATATATGTGTATATGCATTGTAGTAACCTCCAAATATAATGGTGAATTTATACATTCGTGTGCAACTTCTTTTTTTTCAAACTAGAGATATACATTTTTCGATTAATATAAAGTTTTTAATAAATATAACCTACATGTTAAACACATTAAATATAATCTTCCAGGAATTAATTGATAAGATAAACAAAGACGAAAGAAAAGGAGAGATATTAACAAAATGTAATTAACTTGTTCGAAGAATCACATTTTATTAATCTGTAAAACAAAAATATAAAATGTGAGAATGTTCATAATTTTAACGTCAAAGTTTTTCCAAATTCAGGTAACTTCTTAAGTGTATTTCATCTTTATATATTTGATTTCTCAAGGAATTTTTTTGTCGCAACGCCATAACTTCGTCAAACCTGCATCAAATCTAGTGATTAAAGGCTCCTTTGGGTGGGAAAAATACTCTCATCCCCCCAAATTTAAGAAAAAGAAGTAATGAAGGAAAAGAAATTTTATTTGCGAATAACTCAAAAAGTATATATTCTTGTACCCATGATTAATTGAAAGATTATAGATTTCCCTATAAGACAAAAAAAAGAAAAACATCAAAATCTATTAGAAATTTGTAAATTTAAAATAATTAGTACTGACCGAAGGATCGATCGAAAAATAAAGATATGTTTTACAAATTGGAGCCTCGGTTCTCCCCTTGATTTTTTTTTTTCGAAAATCACAAAAATTGTACATTCTTGTACCCATGGTCAATTGAAAGATCACTAAATTATCTCTCTCAAAAAAAAAATAATAATGATAAATAAATAAGGTGTATTTTATACACCACACGATATAAATTAAAACATCAACAAGGCGAGATTAATAATATGAAATATAAATTATTAATAATAGCTCATTATAAAGAGGATGAAATGATGAACATTTCTCTCGCTTACAGTATGCAGGTTCGATTTTCATTTTTTGAGATATTTTAATACATATCTTCAATAACACTCATCATTTGGTTTTCGATATTTTTTCCTCTTCGCCTCCCTAATACGGTGTCACGTTAAGATACAATTTTGAATAATATCTCATAACAAAGTGGATGAAATGATAAACATTTCCCAGGCAAACAAGATGCAGGTTTTATATTTAGTTTTTGCGATATTTTAATACATATTAGTCGACTCCAGCCGACTTTACCTTAACGTAACACATCGGAGATCAGAAGGCTCTACCTAATTCACTCTCCACAAAATAAATCGCAAACGCGGCTAAAGAAGTTTTCACTTAAAAAAATCATGAAAATCATTAGAATTTTATGTTTTTTTTTGGGATGCTGAATCAGAATTTCAAGTTCCCCAAAGAAATTTTCCATCGCGTACCGAAATATATGCAAAAACCAGGGAAATTTCCGAACTTTTTTTTTTTTTTGGACATGACTCCGAAACGATGGATGCATTTTATCGAAATTATTATACAAATACAAAGTTAAAAAAGATAAAATTTGCAATCAATTTTATACATTGCTTATTGATTTTAGTCAAACGGGTGAGGAGTTAGAGAATATTAACTGTATGCTTATTCCATCTGTTTACATCAGTTTTTCTCCAAAACTCAAAATCTATGCATCTTTCGAAGAAATTCACTATAAAACATTTGAAAAAGAATTAAATTTCCGGTGTAACTCATGTAAACACGTTAATATGTGAGAGGATTAAGCGCATGAAATCGAAGTAGGCACTTTTTTTCCTTTTCACCTCCCAAACATGGCGTCGCGTTAAGATACCATTTCGAATAATAGCCCATTACAGAGAGGATGAAATGCTGACCAATTCCCTCCCTTACAGTATGCAGGTCCGAATATTAGTTTCTCAGATATTTTAATCCATGTCTTCAATAAAACTCGTTATCATTTGGTCTTCGACATTATTTTTCCTTTTTTGCCTCTCTAACACAGCGTTACGTTAAGATACAATTTTGAATAATAGCTCGTTACAAAGAGTATGAAATTATAAACATTTCCCTGGAAAACAATATGCAGGTCCGATATTTAGTTTTTGAGATATTTGAATACATATTAGTCGACTCCAGCCGATTTTACCCAAGCGTTACACATCGGAGATCAGACGGCTCAATCTAATTCACTTTCTAGAAAAAAAAGTGCAAAGTGATTCCACTGAGGAAACGATTATTTTTTCTATGTCATAATGCATTGCACTAACTCATTTATATAATATTGTCCTTTGTTCATTGAACAATATACTACGCTAATTCTACGCACG